GTACAAAATGAATGCAAACAAGAAGTACAAGCACAAGAAGACTATAAAAATGGAAATACAAACTCAGAACTTTATTCAATTAAACAAGAAAATAATAACAACAACATACAAACGACAAATGAAACATATGAAGAGGACTATGTTGATGAAGAAAAAGAAAAGGCGTTTGAAGAAATAGAAGAGTTGAAATTAGAGTTAGACAAGATGAGAAGAGAACGTGACTTCTTACAACAAACATTAGACGAAGAGAAGGCTGAAGTTCAACAAATTAGAGAACAACATGACAAAGACCTTGTCTTAGTAGCTTCTCTTCAACAAACTATCCAACAACAACAAAACCAAATTAATGAATTAACAAGAAAGAAAGAAGAAACTTCAAAAGAAGATATGGACAAAATCCCTCCTACACTAGAAGAAGATGAAGTTATTACTACATTAAAGGTTCGTGTTACTGAATTAGAACAACAAGTTGCAGCAGAAAAAAAAGCACGTTTAGAAGGTGCTGAAGTTATAAAGATGATGAAAGCATCACAAAGTGGAGGAGTAAGTCAAGTAGAACTTGATGATTTCAAATCAGAAATAGAAGAACGGCTTAAAGGATTACAAAGTAGATTAAAGATTTTGACTGCTGAAAACGAAAAATTAAGAAAAGCAGGTGCTGGTGCACGACTAGAAAGAATTAAAGCTGAGGCTGACGATAAGATGGCTAAGTATAAAGATGAAATTACTATTATGAAAAGAAAGTTGAATTTGCTTATCAAATCCATAGAAACAAAATGAATGGACTTCTATTTTCAGTTATTGTTAGGTTTATCAGTATTTTATTTTCAATTTTTTTTTTAATACTTCAAATAATAAAAATAGGTCTAAAAATTGTTCATTCTTGATGTCAAGAGCAATGCTTGTACCTATAACTTCTATTGTACCTAATATTGATTTGTTAATCATTGAATTATTTAAAGCAAGAACAAGTAAAGAATTAACCAGAATTATTACTGGAGATATTATATAGTTTGAAGTTTTTCTAATTCAAGAATTTCAATTAATTTTAAGGAATAACAGTTATGATAGTTACCTTTGTCAAAAAGTAAGAAATGAAATGATGAGTGAACCTGTTTTATTAAATCTTGTTGTTACTAATAAGATTGTTATTTTAGGTGATCTTCATGGGCAGTATTTTGATCTAATTCGTCATTTTCAAAACAATGGAATACCACCAGACATCACATATTTATTCCTTGGAGATTATGTTGATCGAGGAAAGTTTGGGATAGAAGTTCTTTGTTTATTATATGCCTTGAAAGTAAAATATCCAACATCTATTTTTATTTGTCGTGGTGATCATGAGTGTGCACGAATTAACAGAAGAAATTTGTTTTACCATGAATGTATTTATAAATACGGAACTTTGCATATTTGGAATGCCTTCGTATCTACTTTTAATGTAATGCCATTTGCTGCAATTATCAACAATAAAATTTTTTGTGTTCATGGTGGAATATCTCCATTATTAAGGTATGTCACTCAGTTGAGAAGAATTGAGAGACCAGTTGATATTCCAAAAGAAGGACTTCTTAGAGATTTGTTATGGTCTGATTTTGATGTAGAACAGGTTGGGTTTGCACATAATGAACGAAGAGAAGTTAGTTTTGTTTTTGGAGTAAAAGAACTGAACCAATTTCTTGATGATAATAATTTAGAATATATAATTCGTGGTCATGAAGTGGTTAAAGAAGGATTTCTTGTTGAAGGAAGGTGTGTCACAGTATTTTCTGCTTGCCAATATGCTGGTATCTTTGATAACAAAGGGGCGACTGTGTGTATTGATTCTGATCTTACGATTTCATTCAAAGTAATCTCCCCTTATTAACTAATAATGTTTTGAGATGATTGTATCTCATTCCGAGCATTAAAATAAATAATGAAGTAAACCTGAGAATATTAACAAAAATGACTATGCTTGCTACTAACAAAGCATTTAATATATTGTGTTTATTATTTGGTGTGTTCTTTTTTGTATTGGTAAGTATTTACGAGCTTATTAAATATTTCATCTTCAATACTAAAAATGTTACAGGGTATTGTGCTGTCTTATTTAAAAGATTGAAGCATTGGGTTCTTGGAATGGGACCTTTTGTGTTTGGTTTATTATTTTATTTGGTTCCATGTGCTGAAACGTACATTTGTGTTAATTCCTCTGAAACGTTTAAAGAGCTTATGAATAAACTTTCAATCCTTAGGGCAAATAACGAGCTATTATATTACCAAGAAAAGCCTAACCAATTATATTGTATTTTTCATTCAAAGGATGGTAATCATTTTGAGTCACTCCCATATTATATTGATAAATCATATATTGTACTTACTTATGTCCCATCTTCAGAATTGTTTTTCTTAAACCATCAAAAAACTTTCAGTCATAGTCAAGATAATATAGGATATCACATATTAACAAAACAGGACAAAAATAGTATGAATGAAAAAGTATCTATATACACAAATCCATCTCATAATAAAATATTCCAAAATACAATATTCTATCAGAAAGGAGTTACTGAGAGTAAGGCATTTAAACACGAATTTGGACAGATACTAAGAAAAGAACCTATTCAAAATGAAGAGTTATTACATCAACAAAAAAAACAAAGAGGTGTTAATTTAGAAGGTAGTATTAGTGAAAGACGAAAGTCACATGAATTAGAAGAAACAATCACTCATCAGTCTATGTTAGGCTCAGAAGAACAAATTTCAGCTGCTAGAAGAATGGACCTTGAATCTATTTCTTTTAATGATTATTCTCCATTAAGGTCACAAAAAAAACATTCAAAAAGATGCAAGGCACCAATCCCTTTTGAATTATCAAGAAGTGATTCATTAGACCTTCCGCTTGACAAAAATAATAATATAAGATATATTTACTCACCAATAAATGAAGAACGAGTAGAATAATTTAGTTTTACCTCTTTTTTATTAAATCTAGATCTTAATATCTATTTTATAGTAATGATTTTGGGTTTTAGTGTGGCAGTCCTTGTTTTAAAATTTATCATGGATTTAGGAGTATTTGTAATTGCTATTGCGGGGGTATTTGCATTCCTTTATTTTCCTGTGTATTGTCAGTCAAATGTTAAACACTATGTTACAATGTTAATGTTTGTTAATTTACTTGGATGTTTCTCTGTGGTCTTGTCTGCTATATTCCTGTCACACCAAAATAATCCAAAAATATGTCATTTTGAAGCTTCTTTTGTAAATTTTGTTCAATATGTTTGTTTATTTTCATTTAAAGAATTAGTCTAACATAAAATAGGGACAAACACTATGGTGTTTATGTTGTGTTGTTGAATATTTTCTTCATCAACTCATTTGTTTAGAAGAAAGTAAAAAAAGATGTGTCATTACTCATTGTATTGTCTGGTCTATATCTTTTTTCACTTCAATTCCAATATATACACATTCTTGTGCATTAGAATTTGCAATATGTGTTAGTACATCTCCAGGAATTAGATGGGGAATATCAATTATTCCAAGAATTGTTTTATGTTTGTTGATTGGTGTAATTGCAATAATTACTTTTATTCATAAATCATCACTATATACAAATACATTGCATTTCCTTCAGTATTGGAAAATCGAAGACTTAGAAATAAAAGAAGTTGCAAAACAAATGATTTTATTTTCTGGGTATTTCATTATCATGGCTTCATGTTTAGCTCAACCTCCATTAACATTAATGGTACAAAAAATATTGCCAGAAACTATATCATTCTTTAAAGTTATATCAACAGCCTCATCAGATGCATTATGTTGTGCAGTAACATTTTTTTATTTCCATCATTTATTTAATTTATGGGGAAATTGGCAAAACTTGTTTAAAAAGATTGGTATTATTGAAACAACAAAAGAAGAGTCAGAGCAATATGTACATCTTCTTTAAAAACAAGTTCCAAATAAAAATAACTAAACTAATTAGTATTGACTAAATTAATTTGGTTGATTCAATGAGGCAAGAAGAGATACTGGAATAAGAGAGTCATATATTTTTTTATCATATCCTCCTATTTGAATAATAGAAGTCATAAAATCACATAACTGGAAGATAATAAATGGAATTTGTTTTGATAATGTTAAGCAATTAGTCATTACCCCTTTTACATATAAAGATAAATAACTAAATGAAGCCCACATTGTTGAGGGATGAAATTGTCTAAATACTGTAACAATACCAACAGCAAGAACATAAGGATCATATGGAACAGGTGCTTTTGGTCGAAGCATAAGTGTTTGATACTTTGAATCAAATATAAAGAATTGACTACAATATAATATAAATGATGATAACACTGATGCAATTTGATCACCACCTTCTGCACATGTTATATACACTTTAGATAATGCAGGAACAAATCCAGCAACATCAAGAAATCTATTAATTTCATTATATATAAGTGGTTCTCGTTCTTTTTTATTTGGGTTTTCAAAAAAGTCATGTACCAATGCTTGGTCAAAACTTTTTAGTGCAAAATGAAGACTAGTTGCTTTTGTTCTATTTTCTGAACATAATTGACAATTAAATTGTTCTCTTAAGAGTTGTAATGTTCCAAGATTATGTAAAGTATCAATTAATGATCTACCAATTTTTGTTACAACAGATAATCCATTATCAATAACTTTAAAAATATTTTGTTCGTTTAATTTATTTTCATTAAAGTTTTGAGTCATTTGATTAAACACAGAATATTTCTCTACAATTAAATTTACTGTTGTGATAATATCATTTAATTCTTTAACACATTTAAATGCACATAACTGATTAATTCCAGTAACTCCTAAAACACTTAGAGCGCTAACTAATTTTCTCATAAAAACATATCCAATAACTTCTTTTCCATCTTTATAGAACCATCCATTTGCAGCAGAAAGATAAAATACATTTTTACGATAATCAACAATACTCATTATTTGACTTGTTAATTTACCAATAAACGTTTGAGAATTAACTGTATCTAATCCGTTTGCCAAAAAACTATTGCATTCTTCATTAACACAGGTTGAAATTACATTAGTAAATTCTTCTTGCCATACTTTAAGACCATCAATATGAAGATAATCTTGAATATATCTAAAAGATGTAGAAAATCCTCCAATTTGATTTGATAATTCAGATAACTGTGTAAGAGTTTCACCTAAATTACCTTTTATTTTAAATTGTAATGTCTTAGAAAACATATTTTTTAATCTTCTTCCAAGAGCTTTTCTAATACCATCTTCAAGTAACTTAACTGGATCTACTTGAATAATACCAACAAACGTAGTTTCCATAGCAAGAATTCCTTCAGCATAAATAGATACTGCATGAGTTAATTCAGCAAGATAATTTCTTTCATCGAATAAAGCAAAACTAATAATATCTTTCTTTTCAACAAATACCGGAGTTTCTGGAATACTTGTAACTTGTAACTTAGCAATTGAATTAATTAATAAGAAAACTTGTTCGGGAATAACTTCTAATACTCTTTGTACATAATTTACTAAAACTTCTGAATAATATTTAGATACATTTTCCATTTGTTCATCAGTTTTAGCTTGCATCATTCTTAATAAAGCAAGATGAAGAATAGATGACATTTTTAAAATTAAACTTCTTAGTTTTAATGAATTTCTAGGATTTTTCTTTATAATTTGTTGTAAATATTCAACATAAACTTGAGTAGATAATAATTCATTAGCATAAGAACAATCTGATATATTATCTAATAATCCTCTAACTGTATCATTAACATTTAATAGTCTAAACATTTTTGTTAACATATCTTTAGTTTTTCTTACTGTCTCAACAACAACTAATGATAAGTCATTTAAATAATTAGTTTCAACTTCTTCCATAGCTTGTATTAATTTACTTAATGATTTTCCACTTGAAATTTCTTTTACATCTAATTTATCAATTTGTTCACTCATAAATAAACACCATTTCATTAGTCCTGAATTAGAATGTTCACTTAATTTATTTTCATCATTAAAATAATTAGATAAATCTTTCATTCTTTTAGAACTTTCATTCTTTAAATTTTCCCATTGTAATGGTTTTTCTTTAACAATATTACTGATAATCCGTTTTAATTCAAATTCAAATTGAGCAGTTTCAAGTAAAAAATCAATAATATCTTCATGATATTTAGGTTTAACAAAAATATCTCTTAATTTTTTAATTGGATATGTTCCATGTAATAATGCCCATCTTAATACTACATTACAATTTCGTTGACAATTAATTAATTTTTGCATATTTAACATTACTTTTTCATCGGTCATTCCTCCTTCTTCCAAATATCCTTGTAATTCAACTTTACATTTAGCCATTACTTGTTGATGTCCTTTCCAAATATTTTCAATATGAGATGGAGTAACTACTCGTTGTAATGCTTGACGAGCTGATTTATAAGAATCCCAAAAGAAAGTTAAATCAATACAATGACCAATGTATATTGGTACTATCCAACAATCACCAAAAAATTTATTAACAACTTCATTCATAAATGAAATGTTATTATTTAATGTTTGAGGAGATAAAAACAATATCATTGTTAATAAACTTCCTTGTGCACTTAATGCAGAACTTCTATGATCTGGAAGTGGAAATGATTTTGTTGTATTATAAATATCATCTGAAAGCATTCTACCAATGGCCATTTGAACAATATAATCATTAACATGAATTCTTTTTAAATATTCATCTGGATAATTGGAAGGTTTTTTTGATGAACCAACAATGTACTCAGTCCTTTTTACTAATGGAATAATTTTATCTAAATCTCCAAATTCATTACTTCTTTTATGTCTTAATACAAAAATAAGTATTCTTTCACGTACAATGCCTGGTATTAATATATCTAATAATAATAATAATCGTACAACAAATGATAACGTTTCACATACTAACTGTTTCCCTTCAACATCAACTAATAATGTTTCTGCATTATATTGAAGATATTCTCCTTCAATAATTTTATCATAAAACTCTTCTACTTGTTTAGTGTATTGATAAATAGATTCAAATACTTGAAATGTTCTCCAAATTATTCGTTCATATTTCTCCTTTATTTTCATATCAATAATTCTTAATTCTCTTGATGAATTTATTTTCATATCAATAGACTCACTCTTTGGAATATAACTGTAATCAAATATTAAATCTTTACAACAATTTGATGGATTAATAAAATCCTCTGGTATTAAATCTTTAACTCTAAATAATTCACTACATATTGTATTTGCATATGAAACTAATCGTACTAATATTTTATGGCAGTCATTAGCTTCATTAAGAATTGACATGAGTTGTTTATATTATAAAATTAATTAAATTAAAAGTTCTTTTAGTTTTTTGTTTTTTCTATAAATAATTTTTTATAATTGTTATTACTAAATCTAATTCTTAATGAATGTTTTGATTTATTTTTTATTTTTTATATTAATTAATTCATTATAAGTGCTCTGGAATAGTGTATTATATTAACATTTTTTTATAGCTAAAAAATCTTCCTCTGATTTCTATTTTCTTTTATTGTTTTTAACAAAATATTACAAAAAATGATATAATTTAATTTTTAAATCACTCATTTTAATGAAAAGAATATTAAAAAAAAAGAATAAAGAATTAAATGATTAAATATGTTATAAACAAAT